TACTCAGGAGGCTGAGATCTGAGGATCGCAGTTCAAAGCCAGCCCGGGCAGGAAAGACTGTGAGACTCCTATCTCCAATTAACCACCAGAAAACCGGAAGTGGCGCTGTAGCTCAAGTGGTAGAGCACTCGCCTTGAGCTGAAGAGCTGAGGGACAGCACCCAGGCCCAGAGTTCAAGCCCCATGACCGACAAAAAAAAAATGAGAATTATGTGCCTTCCTGTAAACAGGAATTCAAAAGTATCCCTTTTGGTTTTTCAAAAGAAAACTTTGAAAATGAAACAATTTTCTTCTTACCATGCCACAATTAAGATTTTTGTCAACTTTGCAGAAGGTATGAGGAGGGGTTTCTCCTTTGCTGGTTATAATGACACAAATATCAGTTACAGCCAAGGAGTTCTGGGGTCGAACTGGAGGAGCCCTTCGGTAAGTGATAAAGATTCTCTGTGAGGAAGTAGAGCTGTTGTTGACATTGGCACAGCGACCATAGGGAGTGGCGAGGATCACTTCACATCCTGAAATAAGCCTTTCTTTCCCATCATATAAAACTCTGCATTGAAGGGAGGAGACAAAAAGAAGGACAGGTTCATGTTAAGGATGGTTTTCTTTTCAATTTAAGGATTTTTTTTCTTTTTTGTCAACTTGAATTAAGGGCCTGGGTGCTGTCCCTAAGCTCTTTTGCTCAAGGCTAGCACTCTAACCACTTTGAGCCACAGCTCCATTTCTGGTGGCTGATTAGAGATTAAGAGTCTCACAGGGTCTTTTCTGTCTGGGTGACTTCAAACCAAGATCTTCAGATCTCAGCCTCCAGAGTAGCTAGGATCATAGGCATGAGCTACCAGTTCCAGGCAAGGATAGTAGTCTTCTTTAAAAAAAAAAAGACAAAGAGCTGAGCACCAGTGGCTCATGCCTGCAATACTACCCACTCAGGAGGCTGATCTGAGAATCACAGGTTGAAGTCAGCCTGTGTAGAAAAGTCTCTGTGAGATTCTTATCTCCAATTAACCACTCAAAAACCAGAAGTGGTGCTATGGCTCAAGTGGTAGAGCACTAGCCTTGAGCACTAAGAGGTTCAGGGACAGTACCCAGGCCCTCAGTTCAAGCCCACAACTAAGAAAAAAAAAAAAAAAAGACAAAGGCCAGGTGCCTATGGCTCATGCCTGTAATCCTAGCAACTCAGGAACCTGAGCTCTGAGGACAAAGGTTCAAAGCCAGCCCATGCAGAACAGCCTGAGACTCTGATCTCTAATCACAGAAAAAGCTGGAAGTGTGTGCTATAGCTCAAGTGGTAGAGTGTTAGCCTTGAGCCAAAGGAGCTCAGGAACAGTGCCCAGGCCCAGAATTCAGGACTCAAAACACTAGGGTGAAAATGAGCTTGTGGGCAGGACCAGAGGGAAAAACTGGGAAAGAGAGAGGACAGGATGCCATTGCACAAAAAGAAATGTACTCATTACCTGACTTATGAAATGCTATCTCCTCTGTATATGACCTTAATAGTAACAAAGAAAGCCGGGCGCCAGTGGCTCACGCCTGTAATCCTAGCTACTCAGAAGGCTGAGATCTGAGAATCGCGGTTCAAAGCCAGCCCGGGCAGGAGAGACCGTGAGACTCCTATCTCCAATAAACCACTAGAAAACCTATCTCCAATAAACCACTAGAAAACCGGAAGTGATGCTGTAGCTCAAGTGGTAGAGCGCTCGCCTTGAGCTGAAGAGCTGAGGGACAGCGCCTAGGCCCAGAGTTCAAGCCCCACAACCCCCAAAAAACAAAAAATACAAAAAAAAAATAGTAACAAAGAAATTTTTAGCCAGGCACCAATGGCTCACGTCTGTAATCCTAGCTACTCAGGAGGCTGAGATCTGAGGATCATGGTTCGCAGCCAGCCCAGGCAGAAAAGTCCATGAGACTCTTATCTCTAACAAACTACTCAGAAAAAGCCAAACGTGGGGCTGTGGCTAAGTGGTAGAGTGCTAGTCTTAAACACAATAAGGCGGGCTGGGAAGGTGGCTCAGTGGTAGAGTGCTTGCCTTGTATGCATGAGGCCCTGGGTTCGATTCCTCAGCACCACATAAGCAGAAAAAAAAAAGCCGGAAGTGGTGCTGTGGCTCAAGTGGTAGAGCGCTAGCCTTGAGCTAAAGAGCTGAGGGACAGCGCCCAGGCCCAGAGTTCAGGCCCCATGACTGGACCCAAAAAAACAAAAACCCAAAAAATAAACACAATAAGGCTGAGGGATAGTACTCAGTCCATGAGTTCAAGACTGGCAAAAAAAAAAAAATACATATATAAAAACTTTTATCTCTCCTATAGTTTCTCAAATCTTAAGGATTGTTTCTTTTCTTTTTTTTTTCTTTTTTGCTGGTCTTGAAGCTTGAACTCAAGGCCTGAGCACTGTCCTTGAGCTTGTGTTCAAGGCTAACCCTCTACCACTTGAGCCACAGTGCCACTTCCAGCTTTTTCTGTTTATGTGGTACTGAGGAATCGAACCCAGGGCTTTATGCATGCTAGGAAAGCACTCTACTGCTATGCCACATTCCCAGCACCTTTTGTTTGTTTCTATGCCAGTACTAGGGGCCTGAACCCAGGGCCTGCTACTCTAGCTACTTGATGCTCTATCACTTGAGCCACACCTCTATTTCCGGTTTCACAGTTTAAAGCCAACCCAGGTGGGAAAGTCTATGAGATTCCATCTCCAATTAACTAGCAAAAGGCCAGGTTAAGCTGTGTGCCTGGTGGCTCAAGCCTGTTATTCTAGAAATTCAGGAAGCTAAGATCTGAGGATTGTGGTTCAAAGCCAGCTGGGGTAGGAAAGTCTGTGAGATGCTTTTCTTCAACTAGAAAACCAAGAGTTGTAACTCAAAGTGGTTGAGTACTAGTCTTGAGCAAGAGCTCAGGGATAGTACCAGGGCTCTGAGTTCAGGCCCCATTATGGACAAACAACAACAATAACAACAACAAAAACCTGGCTGGGTTAGAGGTGTGGCCTGAGGTAGAGGACAGTGAGCAATTAACCCAAGCAGCTCGAGGCCATGAGTTCAAGCCCCAGTACGCATACAACTAAACTATTAAATTCATTCATTCATTCATTCATTCATTCATTCATTCATTTTTAGACTGAAAGCTTGCCATGATGTATAAATGCTAGTACTCATGCGGCTAAAATAGGAGAATTCTGAGTTCAAGGACAGCCTGGTCTAGATATCAAGTTCTATGCCAGCCTGGAGCTACATAGGGGGACCCTATGTGAAAAACAAATTCAAGACTGAGTATGGTGATTCATATCTATAATTTCAGCTACTTCAAGGGTAAACAGAAGGATTACAGTTCAAAATAAGCCAGCTGGGGCTGGGAAGGTGGCTCAGTGGTAGAGTGCTTGTCTTGCATACATGAGGCCCTGTGTTCTATTCCTCAGTACCACATAAGCAGAAAAAAAAAAGCCGGAAGTGGTGCTGTGGCTCAAGTGGTAGAGCACTAGCCTTGAGCTGAAGAGCTGAGGGACAGCACCCAGGCCCAAGTTCAGGCCCCACGACCGGACCCAAAAAAAAAAAACAAAAAAGGGCTTGTGGCTTAGTGTGATTAGAGTGATTGCCTAGTATATATGAAGCCCTGGGTTTGATTCCTCTGTACCACATAAACAGGGGAAAAAAAGCCAGAAGTGGCACTGTGGCTCAAGTGGTAGAGTGCTAGCCTCTGGGATGTGGTAGCATATGTCTGTAATTCTAGCACTCCTAAGACTGAAAAGTGGAAGTTCAAGGTCATTCTGATCTCCAAAATGAGATAAGAAAAACAAAACAAATCAAGATACAATAAAACAATTTCATTTTTTGGCCTTCTACTTCTTCCATGTGAAGGCTCACCATTCACAAATTCTGTCAACATATAAAAGGCTATAAATAGCACCTTGATGTTGGCCTGCCAACTTACAGATCAGGCCTGCCTCTCTTGTACCACAATATACACAGCTTCTAAGTCATCTGGATACTGGATCCTGGGTTATTATTTGTCAGTACTGTAGTATCAGCTCTAAACAGTATCTGGCACAAAAGGAGATCAAAAAACATCCCCACCCCTGCTACATCCCAAATATTCTACCTTGTCATTAAGCTTCTTTTGCTGTTGTTCCTTTTTTAAATTAGCACCAATTAGTTGCACAGGGGTTTTTAAAAAGTACATTTATATATACAATGAATCTAGATCAGAGTCACCCCCTCTGGCATTCTCCCTTTTTCCTTTCCCCTTTCCAGGAAAATGACTTTAAACAGAAGACAACTGAGAAACAGAACACAAACCTCTCTTTCCTACCAAACACCCATTTGCCTGAAAGAAATTTTAGGCTCCTAATTATCAGATACACCTGTCCAGAAATGGCACCATGTAACAAATCTCATATATTGTACTAGTTCTCCCATATATTAATCTGCCCAGTCTGCTGTTCCTGAAACCTCCTTTCCCTTTGTACTGTCAATTCTCTACATAGTTCTTTGTTCAATGACACAAAGGCCCCAAATTACAACTACTGCCCTGAGTTCAGACTGCATATATGCATGCTGTATTATTAATAAACGATTTGCTTTTCTTTTATAAAAAATAATTTATATTTCAAAGAGCAGGCAAAGATATAAACATACATTTGTCATAAAATACACAAATGTCGGGCTGGGAAGGTGGCTCAGTGGTAGAGCGTTTGCCTTGCATGCCAGAGGCCCTGGGTTCAATTCCTCAGCACCACATAAGCAAAAAGAAAAAAAAAGCCGGAAGTGGCGCTGTGG